TTTCCACAGGGGGCTGCTTTCCCGTTGGAAGCGTTTTTTCTCACACTTCCTTTTTTTTTTTGCTGTCGTGCAGCACTTCACTCGAATAAAAAAAAACAAATCGCCGTGGGATCGGCAGACCGGCAAGGTTGAAATTACCCACGCCCTTATGTCCATACTATCCGTGGTGCCCCCTCGTCATTATTATCTATCATACCATCCCTCTAATCGTCTCCACACTCCACACCCACCTGCTCAGTTGTCCACTACTCTCTAGTCGCCGGAGAGGGGCTGCCGCTGTAGCTAGTAGATACACGGGTGCCGGAGCACCGAACGAGGAGAGCTCCTTCCGTCGTCTGTGATGGTACAATTCGGTGCAACTCTAGAGCAGCAGAGGAATGAAGACTGGAAGGAGTACTACATCGACTATCATGTGAGAAAATGAATCTGTTGTTCGTTTTATCTCTCGTAGTGCACGTATGTCACGCCGGCCACGTTGCACCCTCGTCGAGGTGTAAAAGGCGCAGCGTTGCGTCTCTCCTTGGGATGCTGGGGGCGTTGCGATTCTGGTCGGATGGTCAGGACCAGAGGAATGTGTTCGGTGCTGCGCCCCACACATGCTCTGTAGTTCGACCTTGGGTGCCATCCATCCAACCGCGCTTTGCTTTCTCTCTGCCTCTCTCTTTCAACCATGAACAAGTTTTGCACTCGTCAAACACCTTTGCTTGAAGAGGACGTCCTGGCCATCCTCATCTCTTCCCGTCTATTCTTGATGGACGTGCTGCCTCCATTCTCGCCGTTGTAGCGCCTCTCCCGCTGTGGTGTGCGCGGCCGTTACTCCCTCTGTCTCTGTCCATCTCTCCTCGAGCTACACGTGATTGTTTCCGGTCTCCGAACAAAAACTTAATTGTCAATAGAAATTCATGTTGGTTTCGAACAAAAATAGAACATAAATAATCACACAGCGGTTGTCCCCCACTCACCGAACAGACTCCACCACATCGCCGATTATGTTGTCTGGGTTGATCTCCAACCACCCCCGAAGAATCTGCCTCAGGAATCCGGCTCGCTGTAAGAACGGCCAGACTTTTTTCCAGCCGGATTTTCGCCTATTCTGAAAAGTAGTCTTTTGGGGGGAAGGAATCCACAGGAGGCTGTTCGGCCTTTTGTACGACTGGACAACACTTTTCTGTTTTTTATGTACCACTGCAAGCCGGCATATTTCGCAGCAGGTCATCATGATTACAGATCAGATGTCGATTGTGCTTGGGGAACAGGTGGGGTGGAAGGTGGTCCCACGCCACAGCGGTATTGGCCATCTTGTCTGACGATCGTTGCTGTATGTAAGAGCGTGACGCACTCAGCGCTGCCTGCGGTGTGCCCTTGCCCTCTCAGAAGCATGCGGGCGATCTTCAGAAGAGACTATTAAATGAGCAGTACCACCATGTTCTGCGGATCGTTCAAGCAGTATTATAGAGTCCGTCCGGTTAAATTTTGCCACCATCTCCTGAAATCACCTTGGGAATTGTTTTGAGTGACTGACGTACCCCCTAGTGACATACTTTATATCGTAAGAAAGCTCTGTTTCCGGCGGATCGTTTGGATGGAGCAGATTTTTTTTTTTTTCTGTTGGCGAGAAAATCACGATTCCGTGGAGATTTTGGACGATTTTGGTTAGTTTTATTTGGTCGAGTGTGAGGTCATATTTTTTTTTTCAGACCGGTTTTGAACGTATCACGCCCAGGGGCTCACGGCGACACAACTCAGCTTTATTTTCGCTAATAAACAACGGAGATATGGGCAGAAAACCGCATTTCAGGTGCCCTCAGAGTTTAGTTTCTTGGGGAGTATTGAACCATACGATGTCCAAAAACTCAACGGATTCGGGCGAATTGGACCTGCACCTAGGGACGTTTTTTTTTTTTT